TCAATTTTTTTTGCATTTTTTAATTTCTTAATCATAAAAAATGCACTTTTTCAATCTTTTATCAGTTAATCTGTTAGATCTATCAGAATTTACACATTTTTAATTTATCAACTTCTAATATATACACATTTTTAATCCCTCAACTTCTAATATATGCACATTTTTCATCCCTCAACTTTAAGTTGAGGGACTAAAAATATGTAGTTTACATAAATTTCACGAATTAATGACGGAAGGATTAAAAAAATGCATTTTTCATAGTTAAGGGACTAAAAAAATATAAAAAAGTTAAAGAATGAAAATTGTGTAAAACCTTAAAGTTGAGGGACCAAAATTGACATTTAACCCTTTGTAATTTCAAATTACATTTTTACTCTATTTTTGTTTGGTTTCATTAGCATCAAATTAAAATGAACTTTTAGTATAATTACTTAAAATTAAAATTAAAATCAAACAAAAAAGTCTAATTTAACAGCTAAAAAAAGTAATCACCATTATTTTAAAACAAATGGGCGGAACCAAAGAGAAGAAAAAAAATTTTTATTTCAAATTTAAAAATAAATCTAAGAATTAAATAGCATTCAACAATTTTTTTTCTTAATTTTGTCTATTTGAAAGCACAAAAAATTCTATTTTAATTTAGTTTAAATATTAATTTATTTATCTAACTAATAATTACTTATTCTATTTCTTTTTAGTTGTTTTACTACGTACTTTAACTTTATGTTAATTACTTAATTTGATATTTTATATAATAAAAAATGACAATTAAATTTTTTTTTATCTAATTAGAATTCTACAAACACTATATTTTGGGAAAAAAAATTCATCTTTCTTTTATTTGCTATATAAAATTATCAAACCAAAATTTATAGAAAAATTTACTTGTAGGATAGATGAAACAGATCATATTGAGTATATTTTTACAAATTCATAACTGCAATTGAATAAATAAACTACGTGGTTTATTTTATTTAAAATATTTTTCATTTAATTAATTTTTTTTCTATTTAATAACTTTGGTAAAAAATGATTTCTTTTTGGATTTAAACGAGAAAAAGTGTTGAATGTTTATTAATTCTTATTTTTAGAAATGCATTTTCAGATTTGAAATGAGAAAAATTATTATTTTTTTGTCTCCCCATTGATTCTCAACTTTAATTTAATGTTTAATGACAACGAATCTATTAATAATTTTTTTTTGGTATTTATGATTATAGTGTCTTTGAATTAATTTTTATACATTTCAAAACTAATTCCTCTCTGAATCACTTTAAAGACACACCCCTCATATCTACGTGGATTAAATTTTAATAGAGTTAGCATATTTTTTCATATGTCAAGCCACAAGTAATATGGACAATGACAACTAAAATTAGACATTTTATAAACAATTAAATTTCCATTCAATCAAAAGCCTAATTGAGAATTTCATTTAGTTCAAGACTTTAATTGAGAGCAATTGCAATTTGAGTTTGGAATTGATAATTTTATATAAATTTAGGTCCTTATTCTCTACTTTTGTTTGAGGAAGAATTGATGGATTGATTTGAGTAGCCTATATCTAATCTAGAATCCATGGATTTTACTAAGAAAAGAAAAGAAAAATTCTAGAATTTATGGACTTGGATTAGATTGAATCATGAAAGGTTGGTTCTAATTTGGAACCAGATTTTACTAAAACAACAACTTTTGTTTGCATTTAAAACCAATCCAAACCTTGGATTAAGACCAAATTGCACCTTCACTATTGAGATGTAATTTTTTTTTTCTTTTTTATCGTAGTGAGATGTAATATTCATTTCTCTCTAAACATAGCGTGTGTGATTGAGACCTTATTTCACAAAACTTATTTTATACTATTTTTAGTCCATTTTACTTGTCACATTTTTTAAAAAGGTATGTTCTAATTAGACATCAATTTCCACTTTAAACTTAACATTAATTTTTTTAATTTTGCTCCTATGAATAATTATTTTATTATTAAAGAGAGTGCATCCACAACTTTCTTTATCAATAAGGGCAAATATGAAACTTTAATAAGTAATAATTGTATTTTAATAAATTTTGTTAATTTTTTCTGTAACTGTATCAAGAAAAAGCATGGAAAGTAAATTTGACTAGAGGTAGTATTCTTCTTTTATAACTATAGTAATATTTTATTTTCTAAATAATAACTTTTTAAATAATAATAACATTTACTCAAAATAATAATAACTCTTTAAATACTAATAGTAATTCTTTTAAATCATTGTATTCTGAGTAAACTTGCCATTCAATTCTTGCAACTAGGAATATATTATAGCGTTGAAAATATCTACTCGATTATGATACTTAGTAGTAATAATATCTTGTTGATGATGAGCATATCCTTCTCATGCAACATTTGTAATAAACATGTTTGAAACATTTATATTGTTATTCTTAAAGAACAATTCTACATTCTTAAGTAAACAATTTGACTTACTTTTTTTAAATTGTTGAATGAGAGCCTTCATTAACTAGAGGAGATTTAAGGCATTCAAAATATCTTGAAATTTATTCTGTAAAACTTGACAAATCATATCAATGATCTCTATGATTTCCTTGTTAAGATGTAGAATTCAAATTAACAAGTTTAAGATATATCAATTTGTTATATTATCTTTTAATGTTTCTCCACTTTGAGAAGAAATAGATCATTCATCAATTAACTTGTTTAAAATAGTAAAAGTTACTCTAAACATTTTTAATATGCTTAAAATATATTTCAAAAGTGAACTCCAACTAATGTTACCAAGTAGCTGTATAATACCAATCTAATTAAGCTTACTTCTAGATTCAAGCTCATCATTTTCAATTAATCAAGCAATATCAGAAGCATAAATAGATTTCAATTGATCATTGCACTTGGAAGAAGCTCCAACAACATTAACAATACATCTCAAGTTTGAAAAAAATTATATATGGGAAGCACCTCCTTTAATGATGCAACTAAAGTTAATTGAAAACAACAAACTAAGTGATGAAAGCATGAAAATGTATATTTAAAGTGTGTTTAACAATTAAAGTTTGTGACATTATGGGCTTACGAGTTATATTTTTTTACAAGTAATTTTGTAAATGTTTACTCTATTAATTGTACAACTTTTGATGATTGAACATTTGATGATTAAATGGAGAGTTAAAAGAAAAGGACTTAAATGCAAAGAGTTAGAAAAATGAGTGCTCAAGGATAAAATTTTGAAGTTTGAAGACTCAAGTGAGATTTTTTTCATTTTTGGCAAAAGAGTGAAGTAGAGGAAGTCAAAGTGTTAACAAAGTGTTAACAAAGTGTTAGAACCTACCTTCAAGTTCTAACTTCTAACCCCTGATTGTGTAAAAAGAGAGAGTGGAATGTGGGGAGTCACACCATATTTCTAAGTTCTAACCTCTAATCATTATAGCAGAAGAGACAAAAGCTTGTGGGTTCCACATCTTGATATGAGGTTCCAACCCCTGTCTAATTACAATGTGCAGAAATAAAATAAAATAAATTTCTCAAGACTATTATTTCAGTTATTAAACACTCATATTTTATTTCTAATATAAATAGGAGTATTTAAAACTAGGTTTAGCTTCTTTGAAAGCTGTTCTAGGACTTCTTCCTTCTTTTTTTTTTTTGTTTTGCTAAAGTAGAGAATTATATTAGGGTGTAGCTAAACCTTGTGAAGGTTAAAGAGGATCTTGATTGAGAAGTTGATTTGTTATTTTATTTTGATTCCTTTAGAGATTTTATCATTTAATTTTATTTTGGAGAGATTGTTAATTATTTTTAGATTTGAAAACCCAAGAAGTTATATTCATTAAATTTTATATAAGATTAGTCATGCTCTTTTTATATGCAATTTGCTAGGATATAATTGAATAGTAAATTTGTTTTATGAGTTAATCTTTTACTATAATATTATCAATTAGATATATTGTCACTCTCAAATAACGCATAAGAATAAATTGATTTGTTCTTCATTAAAATTTGTTTCTCTCAGAATAAACATATCAGCTATTATTATTGATTTTTAAAGTTATCTTTCGATTATTTGTTTAGGATATGAAACATGTAATTGAGTAATAAATAGAATCACAATTTATAACAGCTGAATGAATTAATTAAGTGAATCCTCAAGGCTTGGTCATCATAATATTGTTTTCAATATTTTGTAATTATCATCTTTCATTCATATATTTTTATTCTTATTTTAGAAATCATCTTTTAATTTCATTTCTTATTGTGACAACTCTTTTTTGGTTTAACATAGTTTTCCTGCAGATTTGATACTTAAAGTTATGTTATAACAACCACTTAGTTGAAGGGTATTAATTTTAAGCAAAACATCACTAAGCAATGAATTAATCTATTAAGCATATGAATATTTTTAACTAATCAACCCTTAAAATCTATTAACACTCACCTCTTATATTACTAGCACTATCATATCTTTGATCGAAAATATTTTGAATGTCAAGATCATAGTGAAAAAGTAGAGAAACAAATAAAATCTATGAAAGTTTTAACTAATGTATCTATCACATGAATACCACCAAAGAAACGCTCTATCAAAAAGTCCTTTTTATTAACAAATTTTAGAACAAAAGCCACATTTTTTTGTTTTTGGTGTCTTCCAAAGCCACATTTATTTGTTTTTGGTGTCTTTCAAAGCCACATTTTACAAAGATTACAATGTTATTGATACAAGCTGAACTTCAACAACAAAAGGCTAAGTTCAATAAGCTTCCATAAATTTAGTTTAATATTTCATACAACCATTTATTAATTTTACACTTTATCATAACACAAGATGAAGTCTCACAAGATTAATACCTTAATACTAGGTAAACAAAAAGAATCAATAATAGCTAAAAATGCAGTTGATTCACTTGTACTTAAAGTCATTATAAATGTAGCGTTGTCACCTTCTTCGTTAACCACTTACCCTTCCCCGAATTCTCTACATCTACATAGAAAAAGAGCATAAAAAACATCATGAAAATTAAATAACATGAGATTTGGATATAAATAATAATAGAACTAAAAGTTTATTCAAGAAGTCAAAAATTCATAACATCAAAAAATGACAACCAAATAAGCTACAATTAAATGATCGAAGAATCCATTTAATCAACCTAGTCAAATTACCATCATGCTCAAATGAAAGATTTAGACATAATCAATATTGAAAAGACCCAAGCCAAAGCTAGCCACTTCCCTAACAACTTTTCGAGTTAAGGTTCATGAGCCCTCAAAAGCTCAAGCTCAAATTGTTAGTAGTGGTTGGGCTTCATATTTATATAGCAAACTCACTTACAAGTCCCTACTGATATAGGATTTAAGGCATTTCAATCTCCCTTACTTAAATGCTTGATGTCTTCATCATGCCCAAGCATTTTAAAACTAAGCCCACCGAGCCACAAGCACAAGATTCGTCTCATGTGATGTGGGGTCTACATTACCATCAGTCATAATGGTTAGCATAAGTCCACACTTACGAAAGGTAACCAATTTGATACCAACTAAAATAACTCTAGCCAAAGCTTGTTACTAACTTAACAACTTTTTGAGACAAGGTCCATAA